TAAAAGTGACAAAAACAGACAAAGTTATTGTATTGCAGTGATTAATTTTACCTATATGCAGAAAATTTTACATCCCATCATGGATCACATATTGATCAGATGCTGCTGCTGACTGATCCATGATGTGATGTAAATGTAACATTTGCTACATATAGGTAAAATTAATCACTGCAATAAAATAACTTTCTTTTGTGTGACACAAAAATCTGAATTATGGAAAGTGAAAGTAGTCAAATTTTTTAATAAACCAAAACACAGTTTCAAAGCAAATTAATTCAAATTCAAAACTTTAAATTCAGTTTCAAATCATTAAATTCAGTTTCAATTTAGTGAAATTAATTTTCTAACCAATGCATTTAATGCATTTAATTTTAAGTTATGCACATACATATTCAATCTGAGCAATTCAAATTCAATTCCTGCTCGCACAAGATTTACCCCATAGTTCTGGTCCAATTGTCCACAGGTGTTCTGGTCCACACCTCCTGAACAAACAGCTCCAGCTGTCTCTGGTCTGAAGGAGTCCTCCACCAGATGTTTCAGCTCTTTCCACAGATGTTGAGCAGGATGTAGATCAGGACTCAGAAGACCACTTCAGAACAGTCCATGTTTGGTTCTGGCCTATTCTTAGGTGTTTTTAGCTGTTTTGGGTCATTACCCTGTTAGACTCATGACCTGAAACTGAGACCAAACTTTCTGACACTGAGCACCACATTTAGCTTCAGAAAGCCTTGATAGTCTTGAGATTTCATTGTACACTGCACAGATTCAAGACACCATGTTTCACTTTTTTCTCACTGGAGCTTTMTGGATTCTTAATATGTATTTTTTGCAAAATCCAGTCTAACTTTTTATAAGTTGGTTTCAACAGGTGTCTTCTTTGGCTGCGCTTCAACCTAAATAGTTACCAAAACTAATGACCTTTGACCTCAGAGTTTACCTCTCATCTCTTTAGAAGTTGTTCTGGTCTCTTTGGTTACCATTTGTATTATCAGTCTCTTCAGTTTATCATCATGTGTCCTCTTGTGGACACTTCCAGGGAGGTTGTCTCCTATGGAGAGCAGTTTCATTCAAAATACAATCAATCAATCAATCAATCAATCAATCAATTAACCAACCAACCAACCAACCAACCAACCAACCAACCAACCAACCAACCAACCAACCAAGTAATTAATAAAGTAATTAATAAAGTATTAATAAAT